TTTTGGCTCCTACCTCAAACCACACTGTGCGCTGTCGATCTTACGTGCTGCACAATGTTTAATATTTACTGTTATCTTCCCATAGATCATGATGTTTATTATGTTTTTGTTTTTGTTTTTCCTTCTGCTTGTTTTCCCTTTTTCTTTCTCAACAGGTGAGCCAGGTGATATGTATTTTGTCTGCTTTTTTGTTTTGTTTTTTCTCCTTTATCCCGTCCCTCTTCCCCGCTGTTTTTCTTTCCCTCTTAAAGTTTTGGAAAGTATTTTCTTTTCTTTGGAAAAAATAAATAAATATTGTGGCCGTCGCTTGATACCAAAAAAAGCAAGAAGGAAGAACAAAGCATTTTATTTCTTTGTAAATGTTGTAAATTTACTGTATACAAGCACATTAAACTTCAATATGAATTATAAAAGAAAAGATTAGAAGGCTACAGAACAGCTGAGATTAGACTATTTTTGAAGAAAAAACCAAGCTCCTTTTTTCCCCTTCCACTGGAAACGAAGTGTTGAAGAACCAAGACCAGATCTGCCACGTTTTAGGCCGTTTTGGACGACTATTGAATGTTACCAAGAAACCTATAATTGCAGGATGTTTTTCAGCTCAAGTAATGAAGCTCAGTCAAGTTTCTTCGTCAGGCGTTTTATTGAAGTTTTACAGAGATGTTTGAGCAGGAAAACAAAAAATACATGAAATGAGAAGGCAACAGGATTTACGAACGAAAAAAATCAAGCTGTGTTATGAAAAAAAAAAATTTGATTATTTACTACAAACAGTCTTAAAAATACATCGGGTCAGTTGAGCGTGCACCATGAGGCCTACCGAACAGCATCTGCTCAAGTTTAACGAAATTAAGTTCACCACAGGCGACGGACAGTTCTCACAATCTGAACTGGTGTAACCCACAGCTTCATGTGACACCACACGGAGAGCACACCCTCTTCTTCCAGTGTGTCACTCAGACCAGTTGAACTGGAGCTTCTCTTGGTGTGAATCACTGTAACAAACTGTGGCACAAAACACAAGAGCTCCTTAAACAAAACAAAGGTTAATGATAGAAATAAATTGGCAAACCACATCACTGTGGCTCAAAGTGTTAATTTTATAAAACCAATGGTGCATAGTGGTCCAACCTGTGTCACTGTAGCATGAACATGTATATACAATAAATGCAAGATGTCCTTTATTGTGATCTATATTTATATACACAGTACATTTACTGATGGTGTGTCCGGGACCTTTGGACTCGTCTGCTTGTGTGTCATCTTTTTACGACTAAATAAAGAGTACAGTATGGCAGTGTACTGTACGCATCAGTCTGGCCAAAGCGATGCAGACTGGAGCTTCGTCCATAATCATGATAAAAAACAAAAACTTAAGATTTGTATTTTGTGAGAAGGAAATTACAATGGATTTGTAAGCAGTGAGAGAAGAACTGGGATGACTCTGCGTTGTGCCCACAACAAAAGTCTCTGCAGCTGTGAGGTCGGGCAGGCCGAGGAGCTTCTAAGCGACACGTCGGTCAAGCTCGGGGCAGGTCGTGCTCGTGGCCTTCCGAGCACGGCTGCTGCATCTGCACCACCACCGTCTCCACGGTGACCTCCTCCTCGGTGTCGCTGCTGTCCAGCTCGTCGTCCTCGTACTCCGAGGATTCCTGGTCGTGCTCGGAGCGCGACGCCCCGGACATGGTGCCGAAGGAGTGGGCGCTGGTGGAGGCCAGGGAGCGCAGCAGCGGGGTGCTCTCAGACACCTCCTCGTTCTCGGGGCCGCTCTCCCCCTCCTCAGAGTCAGAGTCCGAGTCGCCCTGCGAGGGCACCACCTTCTGCTTGCACACCGGACACGTCTTCTTAGTCTTGGTCAGCCACGGGTCCACGCACTTGCTGTGGTAGGCTGAGAACAGAAAGGGCATCCTGTTTATGCAACCCAGCCTTTGATGGCTGTCACAGCAAAGGTTAAAGTACGAGAATAAGATCACGATGGAGCCTTGTTATCTACTTAATAAAATGATAACGATCCAAACGGAATAAATCAGAGTAACTGGCTTCTGTCAGTGTAACTGTGGGTATTTTGTAGTCACTCACCATGAGAGCACGGCAGGACTCTGAGTTTATCTCCCTCTTCATATTCATCCAGGCAGATGGCACACACATCGTAGTTATCACCTGGGGGGAGAAAGAAACCATATTCTCCCTTTAATTGAACACATTTGAAAGAAAGTGGCTTTCTGAGCACCTGAGAGTCATAATTTCTAATAGGGATGGGACTCATTGATAAAGATGCAGCATGCTTAATAGTAGAGAATGAATGCACTGTGATCTCTGACAGTGCTAATGTTTCTGAAGGTCACTGAGGTCGAGCAGGTTCACAAAGTCCGGCTGCCTCGCGAGTCCGATTTCCTTCGATTCTTTGTCCCTGCACCACCCATCCCATCCTCAGCCTGCAGGGCAGAGCAGCATCTCATTCCCTGTGCGCACTGAAAGCTCAGGAATTCATCAGCGCACTCCCTCTCAAATTCCACAGCGTTCTTCTCCTTTTCCTTCCCTTCCTCTTTCCCTGCCTGAGCTGGAGGGAGGCCGGGAGAGCAGGGGGCTGTGGGTCGGTGTGTTTATGTAAGCTCTAAATGAGCATGTTTTCCCTGACTGAGCTCTCTGTGTCCGCGCCAGAGCCGCATGTGACCGTATAAGGACGGGGAGTCACATCAACCGCCCCTCCTTCCTTTCCCTCCATCATCGACTTCCAACTCGAGGCAGCGTGTCCGACTGCGGCTCCGCCTCGGCCGTTTCACTTTCAGCTTTGTTTTTAACTCAAAACACCAACACAACCACAATCATCGCGAATTTTCTTTTCGCCCAACACTCCTCTGACACGACTCCAGAGCGGCCTCCATCCTTTCCTCTCCTCGCTGCCAGTGCTGAACAGTCGCAGGGTGAGGGAGAGTTTGTGCAGGCACAGATCCAGGATCCAGTATCCACTCAGGAAATGCTGAACTGTGGCAATAACTGAGCTATTCTGAGGAGCAGAAGAAAAACGTTCAGTGGCTTTCTGAACTCTGTTCTGTGAACCTCTGAGGCCTCGCACTGGGGAGATAACATTTAAAAATAAATAAATAAAAATGCCATCGAGGATCGCTTTCTGCTACACTTCAAAAGCTGTTAGCACTTTATTAAGGCTGCTCAGAACGGCCAAATATGGCCTGTTCACTCGAAAACGTAAGAGATTCCTCCAGGAAGGCCCAGGGCTCTGCACAGCACTGCAGCAGAACACAGACTAACCGAGTCGACACCCGTCACAGAACAAATTACCCCCCCATCAAAGAAACTGCTGGGGACGTTTCTCGAATATTCCACCACAATAACGCAATTTCTGTGAGCTGAGATTCAGGCTACGTGGGGTACATAACATATCTAAAGCAGCGTGGTTTTCATCAGGATGGTGGTTTCTCCTCATCCTAGTTTAAAAGTTGGGCTGTTGGACCCTCGAAAAGGCCACATCTGGCAACTTTTCAGATGCTGGGAATCCCTCGCAATTACGTTTCGGGGCTAGTAGCACACGTTAAAAAGCTCTGAGAGCTGGTGCAGCTCCTCTCCCCTCCATTTTTCCCCATTAATCGGCCAGCCTGCCAGCATTCCTGGCTCTCAAGGGAACCACGCTGTCCTACTGAACTTCAGACAAGCAGCAGAGCTGGAGTGGGCAGGCGAATGAAAGAGAGGCTGACAGAAACTGGGTAAAAGGACGAGGGGGGGGGAAAAAGCATCTACAGTTTGTCACCGCCGACCAGACAAGGACAGCTGGCAAGGAGGCCACTGAGCTCAGAGACAGAGAGGGCTCCTCTATACTGACATCAACATGCTTCACACACCGACGGCTGAGACACTGCAGCTGCTCAGTCCAGTCAGTGTGTGCGCGTGTGTGTGTGCTCGCCTTGGTTTGAATGTGCAAAGCTGCAGGGAGGGGTGGGGTGACTCATCATACACAGGGAGGAACAGACTGCAGGTCAAAGATCACAGGAGGAGTAAAACCAAGGGTCAAAATCAATCCCTTCATTCTTTAATTTATTGTTTTTTCCAGTCAGTTTGCTGCACGTGTGCATTCACACTTTCTGACTCATACAACTGTCAGACGCCGGCTCCTGACAAAAACTGGCGTCAAAGCTCGCTTTCAAATGTCAGGCTGTCAGTGGAGCTGATGCAAGGTTCTGTAAGAAAACTGGAGCATATGTCATGTTAATGGCAGTGCGGTGCTTAGCCGGCAGTCGCACAGCTGCAATTACATAATGCTGTATGCCGGCACAGGTCTTATGTTACATACTGGCATTGTGCGCTGATTGCACGGGTATTGTGGCTTTCATTAAGGCATTGTGCAGACACTCCTTGTCTCGCTTACTATTCATTTCAGTCTGAGGAATCCCATTTCCATGCACACAAGTGACGTTATCCACCATCACCCCCTCTGACCCATATCTTTACGAGTACTGTCTGCTGGCCAACTGCAACAGTCGAACTTATCTAACCGAACGACCTGCATGACAGCAGACTACAAAAAGAAAACATCATGTGTCTCAATAAGGTGCCGGGCCCACAGACTGTATGTGCAAGATGGACAAACAGCGTGACATCACACACCGGTCAGTGAGGCCCCGCCCGTCTTAAAGCCTTGAGCTGTAGATTTTAGGTTGTACCGTGTCAGTGCCTTGAAGTGATGAATAAGCAGTGGATGTGACTGAGCAAGCGAACGACGCTGCACGCTCACGTGGTAACACCACATGACCTGCCCTCACTCTTTACCCCTTAAAGCTCTTTTCTGAACTGAGCGGTTTCGGTCATATATTTCAGACCTGCTTATAGAATAAAATGACTGGGTTTGTATTAGAAGTTAGTGAGGGTGGTCCCTGCCTATGCACACACAAGCCATTCTAATGGTCATCAAACTACGTCTTTATTGATATATATATATATACACTGACGGGTACACAGGAAATCATCAAATGTTGTCTTTATGGAGGAAGGAACTACATAGTAACCAGCTTCAATGAGACCATAAACTCATCAGGAAAGTGTTTGGCGCTTGCTCGGGTCACTTCCTCAGACTTTTTTTGCAACTAGAGAAGTCGTCCTCTGCTGGGTATGAGAAAAAAAAAATGCTATTTAGGTTACCATGTTCTCATTTTATCTCTCGGCGCGACAACCACCTGCTGCTATCACAGCTTCAATGTGCCATGGCATCAGTTCACCGACTGTCTGGAACTCTAATGGAGTTCTGTCTTCGTAAATTTGATGTTTTGGTAAATTGGCATTTTGTGTGTTGGTCCAAAATGTTCCACTGAGTGACTGTGAAGCCACAGAGTGACATTCACATCATTTTCATGCTTGAACCATCAAGCGAGACCATTGTGCCTTCTTAATGGGCATCCTAGAAGAAATCACTGTCACTCAGACAAACTCTGTAATATTCAATTTTGTCTAAATACATTCGACAGCCACTTTATTAAGAGTAACTGTTCAACTGTTTCTTAATGCAAGTATCTAATCAACTAATTATATGCCAGTTATATGAAGTTCAAACTGAGCATGGGAATGGGAAAGAAAGGTGATTTAAGGGACTCTAAATGTGGTTGTTAGTGCCAGACTGGCTGGTCCGAGTACTTCAGAAACTGCTGACCTACTGGGATTTTCCCCACACAACGGATGCTGGAAAAAAATGGGAGAAAATTCCTTCTTGATGTCAGAAGAGAATGGCCTCTTCAAGCTGGTAGGAAGGCAACAGTAACTCAAATAACCACTCGTTACTACCAAGCTATGCAGAAGATCACCTACATATCAAGCCTTAAAGCATAAGACCGCACCAGGGTCCGCTCCTGTTAGCAGTTTGCACAGGCTCAACAAAACTGGACAATAGAAAACTGGAAAAATGTTGCCTTGTCTGATGACTCCAGTTTTCTGCTGCAACATTCGGATGGCCGGGTCAGAATTTGAAGCATTGATCCAATCCTGCATCAACACTTCAGGCTGGCTGTGGCGGTGTAACGGTGGGGAGGATATTTTCTTGGCACACTCTGGCCCCCTTAGTAGCCATCAAAGGTGTAAAAAAAATAAATTACAACCTGCAAATCAATTTCTACTAAAGTATTTGCTGAAGTGATGGACAGATATCTGCCGATGCGAGCTCCTCTGTCAGATGGGGAGCAGATACTCTCATCAGCAGAAAGACATCCTGCCAGCACAGCAGCAGCTCAGGCTGCGGTGACGATTATTAGCTGGCAAGCATCTTTCCACTTCCCAAAGTGACTCCACACCATGCTACATTTCTTAGCTCCCCTGACCTATGACTCACAGTAACACACAGCAAAGCCATTACAGATTTAGATGTATACCAAGACTGCCACTAACAAGCCTCCTGAAGTAAATGGTAAGCTATCGATTTGGGCTTGCTGGCTGCTTCCACATTGGTGTGATTATTGTAGCCAAGCTGAGACAGGGAAGCACTAAATGATACATCAGCCAAGAGACGAAAACCTTAATAGCTTTGAAATGATCGAGGTAACTGCACTTTAAACAAAGTACAAAAAGGTATCGGTGAATTAAATGTTTTACGAGACCTTTAACACGAGAACACGCCCACTGAACCTTTGCAGAAAAACGTTCTGCACTGCAACTTCCGCTGCATTTCAAAATAAGCACCTGAACATGTAATATTCTGCAAAACCGTTCAGGGTTTCAGATTTGCAGCTTCAAGATCAGCAGCCACACAGCATCAGAGTACTCCCACTCACTAAAGCTGCATCTGATCAAAGCACCCCGGAGTCCGAGCTCAGCATTATCCGCTGCAACTTGGGCCAAGAAGGGCAACATTAGACATCTTTCCCAGTCTGAAGCTGCACCGTTGCAGCGATGAAGTTCAGGCACGGTGCCAAAAACTTCAGCAACGGTGCAGGAAGCAAGTTTTCTTAGCATCACATTGAATTGTGTGGAGTTGAGTTGTCCCAAAGCAAGGCTACAGCTAAAAATAATACAAATCACAATGTGGCGCTTAAACCCCTCCCACACACACATACAACCAGCTGCTGTAAACAATGATCAATAAATGACAAGCTTTTGCATTCTAGATGAGGGTTTGTGTGGAAACCATATAGCCATAGAGGTTCACTGGTGTATGTACTTAGTATATCACCAACTCACAACACTTAGAAAAACAGCCCATTTCCCTTTACATGACACAAACATCAGAAATAGTGCTGCAGTCATTCCAAATCCAGAGGCCAAATCCTGCTTGAGGCCTTCCTCTTACCTGAGGTAAGCACCGCCTAACAACACAAAATCAGACAACAGGGGTGCTGTCCCACTGCGACAGCCCTCCCATGCTCAAACCTGACACTTTGGAGCAATGCTAACCTGGCAAGAAACAAAGTGCAGAGCTCAAAAGGTGATTAGGTGGAGATTTGGTGTCCCCTTCCCATGTTGGTAAACGCTCTGACTCAGCTGACAGGCGTGCAGACGCCGCCCCGGAGGCTGTTTCCTGAACGTCCGAACTCGCCTGAGCAGTAAAGGGTGACTGCAGCGGTGCTTGGTGGAAACCCTGAGTCAGAGTGGGCACTGCTTGCAGATGCAGCCGTGACAGCGCACAAACCACAGAGCCTGACGTGACAGAAACAGTGACCAGAGCAGCACATGCTGCTTTTAGCTGGTCTGCTGCATGTGCTTCCATTACTGCCAGGCAGGGAGGAGCAGCTCTGCAGCTCAACCCCCCCTCAATTAGCAGCTTTGCAAGGGGGATACTTATTATGCACCACCCATTCTCTACAAAGCTGTTTCCCTGCACAGACGACTGCAGTCCGGGGCTTTCCAGCCCGCAAAATACATCTGCTGGAGGTAACACAGCCGGCAAACATCTAAATACACAGACAAACTTATTTACCCAACACACAACGAGGATTTGCCTTTCAAAACAATGCTATAGTCAGCCTGACACCTATACTTAGAAAGAAGGAGAAGCCACAGAGTTTTACTTAAAAAGCTTTCAGAGGTTTTTGATGAAACACTCAAATATTTACACAAAAATAAAAGCAGAGATCTATTTTTACTTCATCACATTTTCTCTCCTATTACAAACAAGCGGTACATGCTCTACTGTACATCTGCCTGACAGGTAAAATCCAAATTACACTTAGCTTTCGACCCAGCCGGCCCCCAGCATGACTGAGATTACATTCCAAACCATCAGTCATGTGTCCAGTTTCAACAGAGAGGAGCTCTAATCTGCCTTTGTGGAAAAAAATCAAGTCCATATTAATCCGATTAGGTGCAGAGCTCCAGGGAGCGGTGGTGTGTCGCAATGCATCGATGACATCTCTGTTCTTGGCCGAATCATGTGAGAGAAAGGAGCGAAAGAGCAAAGATAGCATCTCTACAGATCGCGAAGGTCAGAGGTCAGACTAAAAGATGTGTAAACGCCTGGTTGCTTCAGGGAGTCAACACAATGCTGGAATATTTTTTGCTAAAGGAAAACAAACTTCATTGAAACCTTGCTAACAGACATGTAGCACTGTTCCACATGATGGGCATAATGATAATGTTGTGCTACACAGTAGCTTTAGCAAAAAACTGAGCCACCTAGAACTCTTAAATTAACCTTTATTGAGCCAGGAAGTGAAATTATTGAGATTTTCCTGTGAAGCCTCGATGCTAACCACTGATCTTTTCCTACCTTTCTTGTACTTGTGGATGGGAAGCTTCTTCAGCTGATCTTTGCGCAGGCGGCTCCTCCGAGCTCTGTGTCGATCCTGGACAAACTTGGTGATCTAGTCGAAGCACAAATAGAGCAAAACTGTCAAAATGAGCGCAAACCACACACAGATCTTGCGCAAGTAAAGTCAAAGAAGCTTAAATTTACAGTGCATAACAAATTTATTAGACCACCTGTCATAAAAACAAGAAACTGCTCAAAAACACGTTTAAAACTTTTTAATGTTATTGCTATTTATTAAGCAAATAAACTGAATTATTATTTTCGTACCAAAATTTGAGCTAACACGAATGAAGCAAGCATAACATTCAACCATGAAAACAATGTCTTTCTGTTCAGGGATGGAAGTAAATTAATGTAATTTGGCATTTTAATTAAAATGAATAATGCACTTTTCTATTTTTTCTGCTTTTCTGTAAAACTGTCAATTCAAAAATTCATGATTAACAACAATAATTACAATTCAGCATTAAAACTAACATTTTGATAAAGGCTGACGTCTGGTGCCTGATGAAGAACAACGTTTTGGGATTAAAACTTGGTTTTCCTAAAATAATTTAGAATCATTTTTACAGCAAGTAAGAGTCCTTACGAGGAAAAAAGCCCTTTCAGTATCAGACCAGTGTGGATTTGACTGTTTTTACTTCTTAATCATCAAATCGATGGCAGTAAAACAACAAATTACTATCCATCTTTACACAAGTTTAGTTGTTCCTTTGTAAAATGCTTTAACCCTGAGTTAAAATGAAGACATCTTAAATTTACCAACCATAAAGACCACAATGAGGATGAGGCAGATTCCCACGATGATGAGGAAGGGGATCAGGTAGTATTCCAGAGGCAGACTGAAGTCTGGCAGGAGGACCACGTGGCCGCTAAAAGAAAAGCAGAGCGCTGTCAGGTGCAGGACGGGTAAACATTAACCTTTTCACAGACACGCATTATGCTGCTGACTGTGACCTACACCAACAGCACTCTGCTATAGCTCATTGCTGTGAGCTGCCACATTAAGGAGATTCCCTTTAGTGCTTTTCAGCTGTGTGACAGTCACATAAAGGTCCCCTCATCAACATAATGACATTTTATTTCAGTCAGAAGTCTCTCTGCAGCAGACTATCTGTGCTTCAGGCAAATATGTAACAACCAAACTGGCCCACGCTGACGCAAATATGCCAATACCATGTTTGGTGTTCGTTCCCTGGCTGCGCAGCATGTGGGAATAACCCTCACGTATTAGGATGTATCTGACACAAACACCAACCGAGTTAAGGTGGAGAAATGAAACGTTAATGTTGTGACCTCTGAGCTCATGTGATCGGCAGCGACAAGTCCTCTCCTTGATATATTACAGTTCACGCTGCGCATTTTGTTTTACAGTAACAACAAATTAAACTCCTGGCTGGAAAGCAAAGAATGGCCGGTGAGTGATCCAGCTTTATAAAGCAGCCAGCTCTCCTCTTGAAAGTAAGAATTGTTCATAGTGGAGTGTGAGAGGAGCCGAGCAGGAAGCTGCTTCTATTTATACTGATGGGCAGGAAAAGAAAAAAACAAGAAGAAGAAAATGAAGAGATTTGGGTTTGAGCTTACCCCTTGTCATACATGTAGTCCTCTTTCAGAGTGTTGGCAGTCTCCTCGCCCACAAACACAGACGGGATAACCAACTGCTTCATGATATCCACTAAAAAAACCAAAACAAACAAAATGGATAAGTTACATACATCTAGAATTACTCAGTTACTTTCAGTTGCAGCTTTTAAAGCTCCTTTCTGAGCACTCAAAGTGCGTTTTTACTGCAAGTCTCATTCACCCATTCACACACATTTCACATGTTCACACATGCTGATAGATGCATCTAAGGCACATGTGGTGATCGGCATTTTGCACAAAGATACTGAGACAAGCAGGTTGGCGGAGCCAGGGTTTGAACCACTGTCCTTCTGATTAGAAAACAACTTCCCCAATAAGTCAAATACTTTACACCTGAGCGTTTGCAAACATCGATGCATCCTTTTGAAAGATTTTTTTTTCTGCCTGTCCCATTTGGATCTTTAGCCATCAGAATTGTTGTCTGAAGGCCAAAAAAAGATGCCCAGTGGATTTACTTTACCAAGTGGATCATCATGGCCCTGCCATATTGGTCCATTTGATTGACCTTTATTATACTTATGTATTTATTTTATTTTCAGTTGTTGTAAACGGGACAGACATGACTGGACGATAGGACAGGGAGAAAGAAAGAATGAAAGAAAGAGAGGGAGAGAAATACAAATTAGGGGGGAGAAGAGATGGTGAGAAAGGAGGGAAGAAAAAAAAAGAAAGAAAAGCAAACAAACAAAAAAGAAAAAACACCTGGATCACCTGTCAAGAGAAGAAAAAACAAAACAAAACAGGAGAAAACAAACAAAAAAGAGCAACATAATAAATACAACACCATCACAATAAACTAGCTGACAGTAGATACTAAATTTTAAATGTTATTGTGCAGCACGCAAGATCGACAGCGCACAATGTGCTTTGAGGTAGCAGCCAACAAAGGTGTAGTTTGTGTCTGTGAACACCCGTGTACACCTGTGTGCATCAGCACGCTTGTATTCAAAAGGTTTCTCCATGTAACGATCTGCTAGGGAGTGTGGGGAGCCATAGCCCCGTCCCCCAGGGCATGAAGCAGGTATGGAGGAGATCCAGGCCCCAGACATCCAGAGGCCCCAGAGTACGAGGACCCGAGGAGGACCACCAGGGGGGCAACTGTGCCACCCTCCTGGAAAGAGCTGAGGAGAGCACCAGACGAGGGGTCACCCAGCAGCCACGGAGCCGAGGCCAGAGGGGGTTGCAGTGATGTGCTCGTGGGCTCTGCCGGCAGCCAGCTGTGCCAGAGAAGACCGGGCCCCAGGCCCAGGGGCCAGAGGGCGCCCCACGCCCCTGGTGGCCGCTTGGCGGGGCCCAGCTGGGCCGCAGGCGCCTGGCCCCGCCAAGCGGCCACCAGGAGTGAGCCGGTACATACATGAGCGCCCAGCCCCAGACACCAAGAACCACCAACGCACCGACGTCTGAGGGCATCAGCCACTGGCAGGGAGTGTTGTGAGGAAAGATTTTAAAGGTTCACCAGCTGCTGAGTTATGCTGCTGAACAAAGACCAGAGAAGTGTTTGTGCAGAGTGAAGCTGATCTTCTTGCTATGAAAATTCACCCATTCATTATTTCTGTCCTATCACACATTTGTGTAACATGTTATGATATTGTAATACAAAAGTGATCTGTGTGACCTTGATCTTCGACACTTAATCCCAAATTTTAGCATTACTGAGCTGTTAGCTTCACAGGACAGACATCCAAAAAGAAAAGGAGGTTCAGACTGTTTGGCCACCCAACAAGCACCCATTAAAGCACTGAACTAGATAACAGGAGCATCTTACCATCGTTGGATCCCATGCCGATTAAGTCATCCGACTCCACATTGTGAACAATGGCTGCCTTGTAGCCGGCTTTTTGGGCATTGAGGACCTGAAACAAACAAACAAACAAACAAAAAGGCAAAACCGTTTACATCCGATTGTCAATCTGAAAAAATTTGTGGTGGGGGTCAGGTGGATAAAAGTGACAGCAGTATATGTGATAACAGCAGTTTCTGTCATATACTGTGACCAAATTAGATTTTCATTATTTAACAGAGCAGCATGAAGCATGTGGTACCGCTCAACATTTTTGTGGCTCACTCTCTAGAAAGACAAGCAGCATAAACACTGAATGAGCTTTAACTGAAGATACAAAATAGGAAGCTTCCAAGGAAACGATGGGAAACGGGGCACAGAGAAAGCCACAAAGTATTTGTAATGGCTACAGGTTAAAGACCATATGAGAGTCCAATGATGTGAAGATACCCATAATAGTAATTACAAAAACATATTACATATATTAGTAGAGATTGTATCTCTCAGTTGGCTTGGGAAAGTCTTGGTGGGAGTTGATGAGAAGGAGTAAGTGGACAGGGAGAGAGAGGAGTCTGGGCTTCAATGCTCTGCCTGCGGCCCTCTCAACCAAGGCTCAGATGAACAGCACGAATAAAAAAGAAAAGAAAAGATATTTAGACTGGAATGGCTTTGTGTCCTGATGCCTGGTCTGCTTCAAATGTGCTACAATTTCTTATTTTATTTATAACAAACAGCCAACATGGTTCAATCTGATACCCTACAGGTGCTTTTCTGTGCTCTACAACAAAAACAAGCCATGACTATCAGCCATCAAGAATAAGTAAGAACACAACATGTAGTAACAAACACAAGCTTTGCATTTCAATTCTAATTGGACAATTTATTAATACTTTGCAATGTAAATCTTTAAAAAAATACTATTTGCATTAGGCATGTACTATATCGTCTAATCCGCGTTAATACGAATATAAACTTACATGATGCAAAACTGTCATGTCGCGATATTGTGTGAGCAACGACGAGTCAAACCCGGGCATGTCTGACAGTAAGAGCTGCGTTTCAGCGTCAAATGATGATTATTTTTCCCCCTACAAGGGAGCGACTTCAACAGTCTCCATCAAAACACAGGACTTGAAAGGTTTTCCTGCTGAAGGTGGAAACCATGAGGCAAAAAACACAGTTTAGTACAATCAGCCTATGCAGGCGGGCAGCTAGCAGCTGCTGATGTGCGATGCAAACGTACACAAATGACTCAACCAAGCATGACTGCAGCACTCAGAAGTTAGAATCCATATGACGGGAAAAGCAAACAGTGCATGGAAATCACTGATGCAGTAATATGGAGGTAAAGCAGGGCTTTAACCAGCTGGTTAGAAAGTGCCACCCACAGCGTGGCTTTTTTCCCCCCCCAAGTAGGAAGGAAGGGAGAAGGAGAAGAAGGAGAAGAAGGAGAAGGAGAAGGAGAAGGAGAAGGAGAAGAAGAAGAAGAAGAAGCTCTGCAAACTGCAATAAAAGGTCGCTCAGATTTTTCCTGCATCGTCACAATTATCCTGAAAATATTGTGAGTTTGAAAACAGATATTCGTTATCATGCGATTCTTTAATTTAAGCCAGG